GGTCTGGGTGCAGGAGCACGGGGTGCGGGCGCGTTCCCTGGGGGTCTGGCAACACGAGGGCACAACCGGGTGGCTCTTCTGGCCGCTCCCCCATCTCGCACCTTCTCAGATGAGTGCCCCCAACCCCCACCCCCGTGTCTGCTCACAGCAAGTGCCTCATGCTGGCCAGGCCAGGGCCCCCCAGCCCTCTCCACACCTGCCCCCTCCCCTCCCCTGCACCCCTCTCCACCTCTGTTCCCGGTCCCTCTCCTCCCCCCTCCCCCCTCCATTTCCCTCCCCCACCCCTGCCCTCCACCCCCTCCTCTCTGCCCCTGCCCCTCCCCCACTCTCCTGGCCTCTGCTTTGGCCGGGGACTGTCCAGCTGCCCTTGCAGGGTCCTCCCACCCATGCCCTTCCCAGAGCTGCGGGGAGCCGGGGCTCTCTCTGCCAGCCAGAGAGTGGGGGCGGCAGTCAGGGCCGGCTGGCCCCGGGCTCGGTCACTGGTAGGGGCTCTGGGCAGCCCCCGGTCCCGCTCCTGCAGACGCGGGCCCGTCGTGGGTTCAGCCCTGGTCTCCCTGGCCGGCCGGAGCCAGGCCCCTTCCACCAGGAAAGGTCCAAACTGCGAGACTCCCCCCGCCTCGCCCGAGCCACTCACACAAACACGGTCTGTCTCGGAGCTTGTGCAACGCGGGGGAAACGCCAGCCCGGCTGCAGGCCGGGGCCAGCGCTGCCGGACACGGCGAGCAGTTTCTCTTGAACCCGCCGTGGAGGGGGAGGCAGCCAGGAGCATGTGGCTGTGCCCTCCCAGCGCCAGACAAAGGCAGTGTCAGAATGTTCTAGCAGCTCGGAGGCGGGAGGCGGGCGCGGAGCCGAGCCAGGGGCTGCGGCTCAGCCTCTGGGCTCAGCTGTGGGGACACAGGGAGCGCCTTCATCGGGCCTCTCCCCCCAGGTCCCCGCGACCGACTGCGAGGAGGCAAGCCCCCTCCAAGGCATGTCAGAAGCTGCAGACGCCCTCGGCGGGCCGGAGAGGAGGCGAAGTCGGCGGAAAGGAGCCAAGAATGTGCGTTTGTTGATGAAAGGTGGAATCACGCACCTGGCGGGCCCGGGCCTCCCTGCCAGCGAGCGAGGAGTGTTTTTCTCGGGCCGTTGGCTAAACGCATTCGCTATGCTGGGCCCGAACAGAAATGCTATTCACATCTGGCTCAAGAGACTCCTTCTCGCTCCCTGGACGTGCTCTGGCCTGGGCCGCAGCCATCTGTCCCCGGGGAGCGCTCGGACGGACGGCTAATATTTTAGGAGCGAGTAAACATCGTCTGAAGCCTCTCGCTGTCTCAGCCAAGAATGCACTTGAGCCTCTGCGAGCATCACGGGGAAGGGGCGCGGGAGGCGAGGAGGGGAGGGGAGGACAAAAGCGAGGCGCGGCCCAGGAGGGCGGGGGGCGGGAGGGGGCGGGCTGGGACGATGGTGCCCACTCCCCACTCCCCGGCCCCCTGCAGGCCCACTGCGGACCAGCGCCCGAGCTGTCGCCTCTGGCCTCTGCGTCAGGGCGGACACCGCTGGCGCCCGCTTGCACGCGTGCCCTCGCGTGTGCCGGGGCGCCCGGTCCACACTGATCCCCAAAGTCTCGCTGTCCTCCCCCGGCCCGGCCCTCCTGGGGACCCCCACCCTGCCCCTGAGACGGGCTCCATCCGCCTCCTCTGCTCCAGGCTTTGCTTCCCTATACCCGCCTGGGACACGCCTTCCTCCTTGCGCCTCACAGGACCAGACCTCCTCCCCGACTCACCCCTGCACCTCTCCTCTTCAGCACTCACCCCTGCACCCCTCCCCCACACTCACCCCACACCCCTCATTCCCACACTCATCCCTGCACCCTCCTTCCCATCACTCAGCCCCACACCCCGCTCCCACTCACCCCTGCACCCCTCCCCACTCAGCCCTTCCTCCCTCCTCCCCAACACTCACCCCTGCACCCCTCCCCCATTCACCACTGCACCCCTCCCCCACTCAGCCCTGGCCCCCTCCTCCCCAACATTCACCCCTGCACCCCTCATTCCCACATTCATCCCTGCACTCTCCTTCCCATCACTCAGCCCCACACCCCTCTCCCACTCACCCCTGCACCCCTCCCCATCACTTCTGCACCCCTCCGCCACTCACCCCTGCCCCCTCCTCCCCCACTCGCCCATGCACCCTCCCCAACACTCACCCCTGCACCCCTTCCCCACACTTACCCCACACCCCTCATTCCCACACTCACCCCTGCACCCTTCCTCCCCCATGCTGACCTCTCGCATCCCTCCCGCTACACTCTCACCCTGCATGGCTCCTGCCCCGCTCACCCACACTCCTCCCCCATGCTCACCCCTTCTCCACACTCACCCTCGCACCCCCCCTCACTGTCTCCACACCTGGTGGAGTCAGGAGCTGGTCACAGCTCTGGGGTAGGAGGGAGTGGGGACAGCAGGGGACACAGAGGAGGCCGGCCCACGGGGGGGGGAGGAAGGGGCGCAGGGGGGCTCCTGGCACCCCGAAAGCTGAAGCCACCGGTCCTGGCCTTCACCCAGGCTGTCCCCACCAGCTGGGGTCCCAGAGCTGCTCTCGGAGCCCCGGGCCGGGCTGGCCCCACAGTCCCCGTGCCCGCAGCTGCCCGAGAGGCCACGCTAGGGGCGGGGACAGCGCGTGCTCCACTCCCCCAGCCAGGAGAAGGGTCCTGCCCGGGAGTGGGCGCAGGGCACTGGGGCCCGGGAGCCCCTGCAGCAGGACTGGGCTGTCTCGGCCCCCTCCCGCGGGTCCTGGCGGGTTCTGTCGCGGCCCCAGGACTTTCCCAGCCCACGGGACGAGCGGCTGTTTAGCCGCAGCTCGAATGTCTCCTGCTGCAAGTGGTTCGTGTGCGGGTGATGCAGAGCCAAGCCCGGCCCTGCAGGTGCTACTGGGACCGGCCCGCGGCCGGTGCTGTGCCGCCCCTCCTGGCCGCGCTCGCCTCCGCCTCGACGCCCTTCCCCGAGGGCCCCGGAAATGCTCCTCCTGCAGGCGGTGCCCATGTCCCGGCGCAGCCCCCACAGACGCGCCGGCCTGGCCTCCCGGGGCTCCCGCCTCCCTGGGGCGCAGGGCGGGTGCGTGCTGGGCCCTGAGCCAGTCCTGCCTGCCTGCCGCGGTCCTCTCCCCTGCGCGCTCTCACTCACGCGTCCGGCGCCTGGGGCAGAGCAGGGCACCTGCGCCCCCGCCCGCTGCTGGGCCAGGCTGCGGCAGGGCTGGGCGCCGCTGGTCCCCACTGCAGAGCCGGGGCCTGGGTGCTGCCTCACCCGGGCTGGGACCAGGAACACACGCCCCGGGCCTCCGTCCCAGCCTGCGGGGACGGGACCTGTGTGTCCACCGTGGAGAGCCCAGGCTGTCCTCAGGCTGCCAGAGGGGACGCCCACACCCAGCCAACACACCCAGTGCACCTCTGTACACGCCTCACACACGTGCTCATGCACAGAGAACCACGTGGACACACAACAGAGACCCCTGTGGACACACAGACCCACTTAAACCCACACAGACCCACACATAACTACACAGACTCACACAGACCCACATACAGACCCACACACACCCACACACAGACCCACACACACCCACACACAGACCCACACACAGACCCACACACAGGCCCCCCTGGCTATTCACACAGACCCATGCTGCTTTCTGGCCCCATGACGGAGCCCTGAGGGCTGGGTTCAGGCTCCCCTCCCCCCAGCGGGAACGCCTCTGTGGGCCGGTGCTGCCTCTGTCCAGCCGCAGCCAGACCCTCGCCTGGTGGTCCGGCGCCCGAGGGACCCAGGAGCTGTGCTCAAGGCGGGCTGGGGAGGCCTGGGCGTGATCTCCTGCCCCAGCCTTGCCCTGCAGCCCTCAGGCTGGCCCTGTTCTCAGGGCGACCATCTCTGGGCAGAGAGGGGCCTGCTGCGGGCGGGGCTGGGTGGGCGACCTGGGTCTGCAGAGGAGCTGACACACCCAGTGACCGTCCCAGCTGCCCCCCGCAGCCTCTCTTCCCGGGCACCTGGCGCCTACAGCTGGGTCACTCACCTGGTGCCTGCAGCCCCGCTGAGTTCTGCAGTGTGGCCTCGGGGGCTGCCTGGCTATGGCTGTGGGGTCCAGGGGCCCTGGGCCGCCCCTTTCACCAGCGCCCCCCCCCCCCCCCCCCAGCCCTGCCTCAGCAGAAGGTGCCGGATGCCCTGAAGGCTCTGCCCTTGCCCTGCTCCTGCCGTCACCTGGATCACCTGGATGCCGCCCAGGAAGCGCCAGGAGTGCTGCCCCGGCTGGGCCTTGGCCTTGGGGTGCTGTCAGTCCACGCCCACCTGCCCCCTCCATGCCGCTGCCCCGCTCCAGAGCAGGGGGAAGAAGGGTCACCTTCCGCTCCTGGGGGGGGTGGGCAGGAGACCCCCGTTCCGAGAGGAGGTGGTGGCCCCAGCTCCCTGGGGCGTGTGTACACACTCGTGTGTATGCCTGTGCACAAGCGTGTGTGCCCCTGTGTGCGTGTCTGTGCGCACATGCACACACGTGCATGCATGTACACAGGTGAACGTGCACACGTGTGTGCATGTGCGTGTGCCCCTGCACATGAGTGTGCGTGTGTGTGCATGTGTGTAGGCGCACAGGCATGTGTGTGTGTGTGTGTGTGCCCCTTGTGTGGGTGTGCATGTGTGCGCATGCCTGTGCCTGTATGTGCACGTGCGTCCAGGTGTGTGCACGTGTGCCCACGTGCATGTGTGCCTTTATGTGCGCTTGTGTGCACGTGTCCATGTGTGTGCCCGTGTGTGCGCGCACGTGCACGGGTGCTCCGCGTGCATGTGTGTGCCCCTGAATGTGCACGGGTGCCCGTGTGCGCGCGTGTGTGCGCCCGTGCCGCAGCCCCTCCCGAGGGCCGGGGTCTCGGCGGAGCGCGCGGGGCGGGCGCGGCGCCGGGAGGTGGGGCTGGGGGCGGAGAGGGGCCGGGCGAGGAGGAGGAGGAGGAGGAGGAGGTGGAGGAGGAGGAGGAGGAGGAGGATCCGGGAAGTCCCGGGTTATCTGACAGCGCAGCGCTCGCCGCGCAGGGCGTCGGCACGGCCCGGCCCAGCTGCCCCGCGCCCGCGTGACCATGCGGCGCCCCCCGCTCTGCTGCCTGCTGCTGGCCGCGCTGCTGCTGCCCGTCCCCGCGCAGCGCTTCTCGGCGCTGACGGTGAGTCGCGCAGGTGACGGCCCGGGCGCGGGGCGCGGGGCGCGGGGCGCGGGGCGCGCGGGGACGGGCGCACGCGGCGGGCGGGCGCGCACGGGGGGCGCGGGGCGCGGGGCGCGAGGGGGCTCCGCGCGCAGCCGGGCGGCGGGCGGGCGCGGCGGGGGCCGGGGGCCGGGGCGCCGCCGTCCCGGGGGTCCCGTCCGCGGCCGCGGGGGCCGCGCTGCCAGGCCGGGAGCCGCCGTGGGGCCGGGCCAAGCCGCCGCTCCCGCCTCGCGCGCAGCCCCCGGCTCTGACCTCGGGCGGGGGCCCGCGTCTGCAAACCCGTAATTAATGCAATCTGCAGAAACGAAAACTTTCCACTTCAGCGTGTTTTTGAACAAGTGCTTGAGAAAACAGCAAGGTGGAGGGTCCGCCCGGGCGCCCGGCGGCTTCGGAGTCCCGCGGGTCCCCGAGGTGTCTGTGGGGCCGGGCCGGGCCATCTGCTCCCCGGCAGTCGGCGCCCCGGGTGGCAGGGGAAGAGCCCGGGTCCGTTGTTCATACCTAAGATTCCTCTGCTGCAGCTCCCTGCCTGGTGTCTGCAAATGACTTGCAGATCAGCCGAGCTCGCACACCCGGCTCCGCGGCCCCCGGCCGGCGAGTCGCGCCTGTGAGCCCACATGGACCCGGGCACACCCGTGGCCAGGAGCAGCGGCCAGGAGCAGCGGTGCGGCCTGTGGTGGCCTCTGGGCTCCAGCTCCCCCCAGCAGACCCAGGGTCCCAGCCCCGAGCGTCTGAATCCAGAGCCTCCTTGTCTGCCTCACTGTTGGCCAGAGGGCTTCGTCCTGCTGGTGTGTCCAGCCCAGGAGGCCGGACGCCACTGGTGCGTCGTTCCCCGGTGCCCGGGGTGGCCCTGGGCGAGCCGGCGTGGCCCCACCCACACCTAGGACACACAGAGCCACAGGGCTGCGCGTCCCCAGCAGACGGGCCCTGTGCCTCAGGGACGTCCTTCCTGGGGCCACTGGCACTTTCCGAAAGACTAAATGGCCCGAGTGAGTGCCCGGGAGGCCAGGGACTTGGGCACCCGGGGGCATCAGGGAGGTGGCGAGCTCAGGGCTCCACGTTCTCTGGCATTGCTGCCCTGGCCTGTGCGGTGCCCTGGCCACTGGGTCGGCCAGCACCTACCAGCCACTAGCCCCAGTGGGTGTGTCCGGCGGTGCCTGTGGCCTGGGTCTATCCGAGCTGTGTTACTCAGCTGCATGCCCGGCCATGCCTTGGCCCCTATCCCTGCGTGTGCCCATGTAGCCCTGACCCCCGCGAGCAGGTGGGAGCTGTCACAGCCGGACGCTCGGGGCTGTCTCCGGAATCCTGGCATGGGCTCTCCGTCTCCAGGGTGGGCATCGCGGCGTGTGGGGCATGAGCTACCGTGATGGTCACGCTGGGCCTGCCCTGCTCCTGTGGCGGGTCTGTGGATGGGCCGGTGCCGGATGCCCGGCCGGGACCCTCCCCGACACCCCTGACCGGGCAGGCACAGCCGGGGGCCTGCGGTGGTGCAGGTGGCCTTTAGGGCCGGGGCAGCACGGCTGCAGCCAGAGGCAGGTGGCTTCATTTGAAGGAGCCGCCTGGGGCTCTCCTACCCGTCCTGTCCAAGACACGCCCCACCCACCCGGGCTGTGCTCTGGGCTCCTGCACGCGGGTGTGCCCTGCCCGCGCCTCCCCTTTCCCCACCACCAGCCACCTCAGCTGCCCTCCTGACCAGTGCTCGGTCAGGCCCAGGATGAGGGGCCGCACAGCCCCATGTGCAAGAGCATGGCCTGGGCCTCGCGATCCTAAGCCATGGGGAGGCTGCTGGTTGTGCGCGAGTCCCCTGTCCCCTGCCCCTCCCTCCGCGAGCCCCTGTACCCCCCACCCCTGCCTGCTCTCCTGCCTCAGGTGTTTCCTCCTCAGGGTGCGTGGCCTGCTCCTCTCGCCGTGCGGTTGCTCCTCCCCTCCATGTGCTGCGTGTCCCCCGTGTGTGCACTCCGGCCCTGCGCTCGCGGCTCTCCCCTGGGTGCTGAGACTGTGCGGGGCTGGGCGTCTCCTCCGTCCCCACAGGGACAGGGCAGGGGAGGGAGTGGGGGCTCAGGGCTCGCCTGGAGCCTCTGCACTGAGACCCTGAACATCTGGAGGAGGCGCTTTCATTCCGACTTGAAATCAAGACCACAAATGGAGCCGAATCAGTTCCAGACCTGCCAGGGGCCGGCAGGGGCGAGGCGGCCTGCAGCTGTGCCCTTCCAGGCGCAGAGCTGGACCCGGGCATGTGTGCGCCCACTAGGGCTCTCAGGGCTCCGGCCGTCAGCCTGGGGGGGCGGGTCTGACCTCTGGGTGGGCGGGGAGGGGACAGCCCGGGAGGACATCTCTGTCGCACACGGGGTCGGTCGCCCTGGAGGTACCGTCTGGGTGGGCCTGGGGTTCTGCCCCGGGGGTACCTCCGTCGGCCCTTGGTCTGGTGCCTGGAAGACACGTGGGAGACTCTCGGCGGGGACTTGAACCTTGGGTCCCCTGAGCAGCGCCGCCCTCCGAGCCGTCCCCCAGGCCCCGAGCCAAGACCACAGGCAGCTCGGGTGTGCTCGGGCTCTGGGTCGCTGAAGGGGCATAACAAGGCTCAGGGCTGGGGAGAGCGGGTGTGGGGGGCTGCACCCAGAGCCTCACTCAGAGCGGGGGGCCAGACCTGGGGCTGTCTTCTCGGGGACCCGGGGCCCAGCAGCCCTCAGGCCTCCCCCTCCTGCCCTGATGGGCGCCTTGCCAGGGGCCGCTCGCCGTGGTCCCATCTAGCCCTGCCCACCTGCGTGTCGGTGGGGCCGCACCTGGCTGCCACCAAACTGGGGGTTCCGGAAGCTGGAGGAGTCACCCCACCTGCTGAGCATCCGCCATGGCTAAGCCCCCACCCCGCGGCCGAGTCCCCGTGTTCCTCACGGCCGAGTCCCCGGCCCCAGGCTGTGCCCAGTCGGTCCCGATCACGCTTGGATGGTTCGTGCAGAGCTCCAGGGCACCCTCTGGGGCACGTGTGGTCCCCTGCCTGGTTCCAGCAACACCCACCGCCAGCCCCCTGGCCTCCGACCCTGATGGCAACTCTGCGTCTGTGCCCTGTGGCACCCAGTAGGGCTGTCAGGCTGACGGAGCTTGGACTCGGGGTTCCAGCACCTTCTGGAGCCGAGACACGAAGCCCCTGTGGGGTTCGAGCACCTGCTGCCCATGGGGGTCCGGGGGGTCGCCAGGGGTCTGTGGGGTCCTATGGGAACCCAATGAAGGTCCTGGCGGTCCTCTGCGGGTCCCCTGAGGAGTACAGCCTTCTGAGTGAGGATGTGGGACCCCCTCCCCAAGGCCCCTGTCCTGCCTGCCATGACCCCTGCATGACAGGGTGGTCCGTCCTGGTGTCCCCTTGGGGCCCAAGTGTCTCACAGGGAGGGGAGATCGCAGCCATTGCACCTGCCCACAGCCCCTCTGAGTCCTCACAGGACTGGACCGTCCACTTGATGCTGGGATGGGGCCAGCATGTGCCCACTGGGCTGAGCCTCAGCGTCCCGGGCACACTGAGCCTGCTTCTCAGTGTGGACACAGGCGTCCAGTGGGCAGCGGTGCTGGCCCTGCCCCAGGAGGAATCCCCAGGTGAGGGCCCCCAGATGAGGAGGCTCAGGTGAGGAGGCCCAGATGAGGGCCCCCAGGTGAGGGGCCCAGGTATGGGGCCCAGATGAGGGGCTTCTAGATGAGGGGCCCAGGTGAGGGGCCCCAGATGAGGGGCTCCCAGGTGACGGGTTCCCAGGTGAGAGGCCAAGGTGAGGGGCCCAGGTGAGGGTTCCAGATCAGGGGCTCCCAGGTGAGGGGCCTCTAGGTGAGGGGCCCAGGTGAGGGGCCCCAGCTGAGGGGCCCCTAAGTGAGGGGCCTCCAAGTGGGGGCCCCAGGTGAGGGGCCCAGGTATGGGGCCCAGATGAGGGGCTTCTAGATGAGGGGCCCAGGTGAGGGGCCCCAGATGAGGGGCTCCCAGGTGACGGGTTCCCAGGTGAGAGGCCCAGGTGAGGGGCCCCAGCTGAGGGGCCCCTAAGTGAGGGGCCTCCAAGTGGGGGCCCCCAGGTGAGGGGCCCAGGTGCAGGGCCCAGGTGTGGCCCAGGTGCGGGCCTGGGAGGGGGTACGTGCCACACTCTGCCCCAGCAGCCTGCGCTGGGTCTGGCCCGAACCCCAGAGCCATGCGTGTTCCGGGCGCGCAGTCGAGACGTGTGCTCCGGCCTGAAGGGACACGCCTGCCCTTTGTCCGCCAGAGAGACGGGGGCGCGCCAGCACCCGGGGGCCGGGGGGCCTGGCCCTGGCCTCGTCCTGCCCCGGGCGCCGCGCTGCTCGCCAGCTGCTCCGGCCGCGCCCGCTGCCGACCCACCCGCCACTGCCCGCGGCGGCACAGCTGTGTGCCGGGCTCCTCCTCCCGGAGCCTCGTTCCCACACGCACCCTGGCCTCGGCGGCCGTGCTCCCGCGTGCCCGGGAGGGGGGTGTGTCCACTGATCAGTGAGGGGCAGCCCCGAGTGAGGGGCAGTCCTGAGTGGACGGTCAGTCCTGAGTGTGGAGGGTTGTGTCCCGTGGAGCCTGTGGCTTCTCTCCGGTGCAGCTGGGGTGGGTGTGGGGGGTTGATGGGCGGCCATGGTGGGCGTGTTGGCCGTGGGTGCGTTGGGTGGGTGTGAGCGGGCGTGGATTTGTGTGGGGGGTGAGCAGGTGTGTGGGGGTGTGTGGGGGTGTGTGGGGTGGGGAGAGGTGTGGGTGGAGGGGGCGGCTGTGTGGGAGGGAGCGAGTGGGTGTGAGCGGCTGGGTACTCTGAGTGGGCCTGGCAAGTGAGGGTGGGTTGAGTGGGTGTTCCATGGAGTGTCTGTACACATGACCTTACACGTGACCCTGTGTCTGTACACGGGGCGTCCTCCATCTCCTTACACGTGACCCCATGTCTCTGCATGAACACTGTCCTCCGGCATGCAGCTGGGTGAGGTGTTCCAGTCTCTGTGGAAGG